CCTAAAATAACACACCCCTTCCGCCTTCATTTCCTCCATCTTATGTATGCAGTTCCTAGAGAACCTCCACTGACACCGCTTTTTCTCCTTTAACCCGCAGCTTTTTGAAAAGGCAGTCTCACTTGAGCCCGGAAATCTGCAAGCCCGACACAACCTCTGTGTTTCAATTGTCGACGGCGGTGACCTGGTGGGGGGCGAGCGCTGTTTGACGGAGGCCGCGCGTCACGCCACTGACAAGGATGACTACATCTTCAAGCATCTGGCAATAGTACGTGCCCGTTTGACCGCATCTTCCGGTGAACAGCACAAGCTAGCGGAGGACGATGATGACAAGGACGACCTCTGACCCCTTCCCCTCCATCTTACCAACGCATTTTCTTGGACTCGGTGTATCCGGTCCTCTGACAGCTTGAAAATCGACTATCTTGAAAACGCTTTCGCCTACCGGGCCTTTTCTTTTGGTGTAGAGGCGGCTTTAGAGGCGCTTGTAGGCCGATCTCGAGGGGCGTATTTATTTAACGTCACACATGACAGTGATGTTCCCCAAATTGGCCTAGTTGCAGAACACGTAATCTGGGCACTTCTTTCGCAGTGGAACTCCGGTCTCATAACAACGGGGAATATTTCCAACTAAGACAGCAGAGAATAGCCATACTCGTTTCTGAATTATTTGCCGTTGCCGGTCTGCCATAATCCTCCCCTGCCTTCGGTTTTCTTGACTCTGTCTTCACTCCGGGTCCCGGTGGGGAAGGAGGAGAGAGTGCGGTAGATGCTGTGCAAGTCTACTGTCACAATAAACTAGATTACTCACCAGTCACCGTGCTCGGTTCACTTGTTGTAAAGCACGCGGAGACATCGTCGACAACGACGGTCGAACTATCATGCCGCTGCCAGTCTGCCATAACCCGACATCAGGGCGGGACAGTCTGATTTCGGTCCAGTTAGGCATTGAGTTTAACTTGAAGAGGGAGACACGATCGCTGGGACAAGAGCTTTATTAGTCCGACGTTTCGGATTCCTGCTTGAACCCATTATCAGAGACAAAGCAGATACGGGTCTCCGATGATGGGTTTGAGCAGGAATCCGAAACGTCAGGCTAATAAAGCTCTTGTCCCAGCGATCGTGTTTCCCTCTTCAAGACTGCTTCCTGGGACTCGTCTCTTCGCTTCTATTGGCACTGAGCTTAACGCTGTCTTGATGGAAATCAGTCAACGCCACCCCCACCTAAGTTTGAATATTTCCAATCTTAGCCGATAGGACCGTGAGCCCGTAACTCAGCTGGTGGAACCTCGACAATCAAAACTGAAACGGTTAGTCCCGCCGCCCTTGCCCTTCTCGATAAGACCTCCAGAGCATTTCAGCGCGTGTTGCCAACTACGCGACTCTAAACCGCCGGGGTCTTTACTGTCCCCAACTACGGTGGGTGTTTCTGCTGAGAGTGCCTAAACTCCCAAAAACAAGAGCCAGGCAATCGCTGGAGGCCACGTGCATTTTCTCTACTGCGCTGTCATCCTAGTCGTGGTGCCTCTCCATTGGCTTTTCCTCTTGGGCCTGATCGGTCTGCATATTCGAATTATCGACCGGCTCGTCTGGAATGTTCTTTCCGAAGGGCATTGGGCCGAACGCCGGCGAAGCACAGTAGGGCGTTATAAATATGCGTTACTTCCAGCTAATTTTGACCTGCGATCTCCTAATACACATTTTCGTGGCCGGTCGCCTTCTTCTCTGCCGCGTTGGTATTGGGGACAAGGGTCGAGTGCGTATATGCTCCACGAGATTTCAAGTATCAGGCCGGGTCATAACAGGTTCTTACGAAGTGTCGAGCTTTGAACTTTGTCAGAGTCTAGCGAGTCCTTTTGTCATCAGGCAACAGGGCGCCATAAGCTCGGCCTCCATGGCTCTCATGGAGTGCATACACCTCGCGCGGTAAGTGATAACGCGGTTAATATAGTTGTTTTCATGAACAGGACTCATCAGTTCGTGGATTATTATTGAAACTCAGTCCGCGTCAGGATGTGTCCGGATCTGTATGTCTAGTGTACTCTAGGTTGACGGTGAGGACAGGCTTTGTTCGACGTCCATTAGGGATGGCACGTCAAGGGCCAGTCGAGGGGCAGCGCGTTTAGACCCAGGCTCCGGCTCCGTCGCACAGGACATCCAACTCCACTCGAATATAAAGGCGGGTAAGTAGACCGTTTTGTAGTGTGAGGTCACGTAGCCACAGCTACTGGAATGGTGTAGAGGGATTAGCCAGATCCATATAACTTGTTTTGATGCGGGTATAAGTTAATTTGGGTGGGCCCTCACCTGGGACCGCCATCGTCTGTGTGATTTTGCCCAGTATTGGATGTAGTCTATTTCCCCCCCCCCTCCATATAATCCGCTTTATCACATCGTTTTGTCCACTTTGACACCCAACTTCAGGAGGTGACAAGAAACTCCAACATGTACGCCCAAGTTGTGATGCTAGGGACGGTGCGTTGGCCTGTTAGAGAATCCGCAATTATTGGCGCGGGTAAGACCATGGTCTGAAAAAGTCGCGCATGATAGGCCTTCCAGTTCTATTACAGTGGGTCTTCCACCTCAGGGTACAACCAGCTCCCCGTCATCATCAGCAACGACCATATTCCTCAGCCTGCCTCATAAAGGGTGGATGGGATGGTTTGAGAGCCAGTGTCACGACGTATCCGGGGGTTCCCGACGAGTTCAGTCGTAATTAGTGGGAACGGGTTTGAGTGCTGTTGTGGATGTCCTTGTTGTTTGGTGAGAAGCTGTAGAGGCGCGCGGTTGGAATGATCCGATGGGCCCAAAAGTGTAAGATCAATAAACGATGGAGCGAGGTAAGTTATTAATGTGGACAACGCGCCTGGGTCGGAATGTCAGTACAGCCACTCCATCTACCGTGGCCCCCCTTGATTCCACAAAAGTAAGCAGGCCGCTGTGCTCTACTTGTGAGAGGTTGTGGTCCCTTAGCTGCGAATGTTAACAGTGATGGCGGGATCTAGTTACATTGAGGTGCAGATTGGAGTGTCCTAACTGGATGATCCGACACGGAGCGTGAAGTAGCAGTGCGGACAGGTAATGGGGTTTATGGGTCTCGACCACCCTCTACCCTGAAGAATGCAGGTCTACAGTAGGCACTTATTCCCCACTTTCTCTGTTCCTATCGGTTTGTCCTGCCCTTAGGGCAAGGGCCCGTACTGATGTCAGTCGCCGCATGGTGACATAAATGCCAGCATCTGCGAGCGCAGCTAATTTTGAGTGACTTCATTGCGCCCCTGAAACGGGCCACGCGGTAGATGTACTGAACCAATGCGGGGGGCCACATCGGATTCTGGCAGGCGCTGTCGGGAATGCGCATCCATAACAAATGCCAACATTCGAGGTGCGATAGCAGGCCCACTTACAGGCTCATACCGCATCAATTGGAATCCTGCCGCCTCCCATCTTTATAGTTTAAAAACCAGTTCAAGTGCTTTTTGTGGACCAGAGGGTGTGACGCTACGCCTCAGTGCGGATACGGCCGCACCAGACACCCGCGCTCTTTTCCACCTCCAGCCTTCCTAACTACGTCTTCATGCCGGATCTTGGTTGGATAGGAGGGGCGCGGTAGATAATGCACGAGTCTTTTATCAGTATAACTTAATTCACGCGCAAGTCACCGTCCCTGCCCCCACTCTGCTCAGGAGCACACGGTGGATATCGTTGGTCGCGACTCCGAACTTTGGGGTGAATTCACTAGACTGAATCTCCACTCGCTTGCGTCTTTAAGGCCTCTGCATTACGGCATGACTCATCTAAGACGGTATACGAGAGAAGTGGGAGCATGGATTGCGACCTAGAGTTCAACCACAGGTTGATCCTTAAATGTAGGCTTGGCAAATAAGACCGGGCATGTCTGACCTATCGCAGACGCAGTAGAGCTTGCTCCTCAGCTGGCGACGTACTGAGACGTTCACAAATCCTGCAGAATTGTTGTTCACAATACGACAGACCAAATAAACAAGTCAGCCAGCTTCCCGAGCGTACAAATCGGCGATTCGACCGCCACTAGTGAGATATGGTTGTCGACTATAAATCTACAGATCACTAGCTCTTGCGATAAACAGTTTTACTTTCGATAAGTTTGATGGACGGCGGTGAGAGTCGAAGGAGAGAAGATTTTCTGAGATACATTTGTCGTTTCGCGCTGTCTGGATGACTGTCCTCTGCCAGTGAAATTGAACCCTGCTCTAAATCGCTCTGCAAATCAGTTAGTCTCAGGTTGACAAGTGTCGCCCCTCTCTCTTGCTCGCCGTGAATATTTTAATCTACGTATCAGGTGCTGGTAGTTTGAATGAATCACCAGACGGCGGAGGACAGGTGAGCTTATGGAGGGAGTGCTCGATCTGATGGCTCTTAGGCCTACCTGTGGGGCAAACGGACTGTCAAGCCGTTTCCGGTAAACGCCTGTAAGTCCACTAATGACGCCCCGCTGGGTTGCAGTGCGGATAGTGGCGCAAGGCGGAGTGAACCGAGGGGCGGTCGGTGCGCCCGTCGCTTAGACTGACAAGACTCCCGGTGCGAGGCGCTCGCTCTCACGCTATCTAGGCACATACCTTTTTCAGTATACGTTGCGAATTGAGAGCTGGCAGAATGTTAGTTGACCATACACTCGGAGCAGGGTCCTTTCTCTAAAGAAAACTGCCGACTTGATTCAAATAACACAGTGGCTTTCCGTAGGCCTGTTGTTTTCATAGTGATATAGAGGGTCTCTGGGAAGACTGCAAACTAAGCCTGGAGTTACATTGTTTTAAACTATTCAATAATCATCCAATTCGCACAGCAACGACTTTTAGTCATTCCGACGCCTCAGAGGGCAGGTCCAAATGCCGATTTGCATACGTTAAAACGACAGGCCTAACTAAAAAATGAACCAAATACTTCTGCGAAGTACAAAAGATTGTATTTAGTCATAAGAAACATCTAAGGCGGTAAATGGTCAAGTGGACCAAGGAAGATTAACAGTCCAAATTCTGAGCTTTCTTCGCAGCCAAACAGAGATACGTCTTCTTTAACAGAGCTCCCGGGAGAGTCATATTTACCAAATCCACAATCTGCCGCACAGAGTAGCGATCAGAAAAGTGAATGAGGTAGAGCGCCTCGACCGCCTAAAAAAGAAAAGCAGCTTTTAAAAATTATATGCAAGAGGGAACGACGTTATACCAAGTCCGTGGACCTCTAGGACTATAATTGCGCAACTGTACATGCTAGGTCATTCGCCTTGACCGACTCATTTGGTGGCCAAAAAATCGACCACTACTAGATCATTTCCGGGCAAAGTTAGATAAGCTGCGATGCAAGTTATAGGCCCGAAGGTTGAGGATACGCAGAGGAAAATTTTTATGACAAGTTACATACAGCGATCGGCATGGGCGCTCCGGCTGTTAGACGATTCAAAATTCAGAAAAGACAAGTAAAATGCGTCTTAGACCACGCACGTGGATGATAATCAGTCACCAACATCGATTAAATAAGTCCGATGACTGTCACTCTGACAATTCGCCTTATAGAAATGTAAGAGCGCTGTGTCCACAGTGGAAGTAGAGTACGTAGTAATGGGCCTGAACGCGCAAATAATAGTAATGTTTATGCCAACATCAACTGGCATGCGTCGTCAGGGAAAAATCGACAAGACCTGAGATCGAATCGGGGCACTCGGACAACAAAGAGACAGCGTTCTACCCAATATATTATAGGACCCCCACTAGTGTGCGGCTGAAACCAGCAGAATATTTGACGAAGAACGCTGTAACGGTCTGGGAGCCATGTCTCTTCGTTGTGGATAGCTGCGCCTGAGGAGGCCGGACTTGGTATCCAAGCTACTAATACCACCAAGCCAGCCACCATGAATGCACCGTGGCTGGCCTGCCTCATGAAATGTTAACCGAACTTATGAAATGTGTTTCTGATTTGAAAGGATTACTTCGGTGGGGTTGTAATATTGACTATCGTGTAACATAATTCCAAGGCATTTCAGACACGCCATGATGTCGGCTTTTAGGCCGCCTGCAGAAACCGCACGGTAAAAAAATAACTGCTTAGGGAGCATGGATTATTCCCGTTGATTTTCGATTTGATTTTCTTTAAATTCTACTTGAAGAAAGGGCATACTTAGGTTTAGAAAACTCTTTTGACCCCCGAATAATTTTGAATTCGATCTGCAGTAGCACTTTCGCATAGAGTTCCCAACCATATCCTGTAGACTTTCCGCTTAAGGAAAGCCGGACATTTATCTATGCTGTTAAGATGCCATATAGGGCTCATAATTTTGCCACGAGTGTGAATCACGTCATATACTTAACAAGCAGCACTAATAAACGGACAGATAGGATGCCGTATGAACGCACATTTCAGCCTCAAAAAGCCCCGTGATCAAAAGGGTTTTTGGAAACCAAAAATACCCATCCTTCAGGTAATGCGTTTGAAAGCGCGATGTGCTACCAAATGAGCACACGAAAAAACATGCTCGCGCATGTTTCCCATGACAGTTCGACCATCGATTTCGATGATGTCCACCGTGTGCCCCACAGCAGGTTGGAGCAGGGACGGTGACTTGCGCAGGGGTTTATAGTGCCCACAAGCAGCCTGGAGGGCCTTCATGAAACTCTGTACCAACAGTCGCTACGTGGTTAAGGGATCATCAGTTAGCATGGAATGGCTGCATTTTAATCTCCTCAGAAATTAACTGCGAACTTGGAGTAGGTCAGTATATATCAAGGTCTACAGGCGCAGACCGAAATTCGACGCATGAATATTTGGGCCAAAGTCCGCCAGCCACAGTGGGATTATTGCGTAATATTCATTACCTGCCAACAGGCGGCTAGCAGTATATTTTAGTGTTACAAGATACCATACTAGCAACACAGGTACTAGGTAAAGGAGTGTTAACCTGAATGTGAAAGATTTCAGTGTCATTTGTGTTCTTCGTCATAGTGCCTTTTGTGGTAGTTATTTTTTTATTTGATAGGTCTGGATACGGAAGTCCCGAAGAGAAAAACCAAGGCGCCTTACTCGGCTGGCCTGATCACCAATGGTCCGCGTTTTCAATCATTTAAGTCTATCCACAGATAAAATTTGTAAACTCATTAAGCTAAAAACGTTTTCGACTAACTCTGCATTGTATTAAAACATGGCTCCGGATGTTGCTTACAATGCGTTTTTACCACAGTCGCACATAACGCCATGAAATCCTCTCAAGTTTGGACGACTTCGAGTAGGTCCTAAAAGCCGCCCCAGATCAGCAGGTTTAAGTTAAAACTACGTTCTACTTTCTCATCATACGTAGATTGGTTTTTAAAGTTAAAGTTAAACGCACGTGGAATAGGTCTGCGTTTCGGGCATACTGCAGCAGGTGAATGTGGCCATGCAACTGCGCGTTGGACATGTGCTTATCGGGTCTGTCCAGGTAGGTTGCCTCAGTTATTAGGAGCCTGACCTTCAGTAGATCTGGGTGCGCAGGCTGATCGAATATGGAGAAACGAGTGTCACCTGCAAAACATAAACGAAGGCTGATGAAGATGCTGAGATTAGAGTGAGGACACAATAACCAATATATTCTCTTGACAGTTTAGCCCTGTGTGCAGAGAAAGCAAGACAATGACCGGGGCAGGTCGTTTACACATAGTTATAAAAAGAAAGAAACAGGTGCAGCGGACTCCGGGCACCGCGCTGGACACTGAATTAGAATAGTATGGGCTAGCAAGAACTGACGACTCAAAACAGCAAGCAGCTTGGGAAAATTCCATAATTGACGGCGTGTACCGGTCAGAATGCCCCATCAAGCATATAAAACTACAAAAATTAACCCTCTGGCATTTAGCTGGGATCGCAGTACATGACTTCTTGAAGTCATTTAGTTTACGTCATTGATAAGTCCATTAAGTGGTGGTGTTCGACAACGTTGGCGAACGGCTAGAGGTTTACAACGATTTTTTCTATTCTTCCGCTATAATGGTTGTTAGCAAGGAGAAGAGGGGTGATACGTCAGAAACCCGACTTTCTAGGAGAGCAGTTGCGACAGTAAGAGTAAATCAAATAGACATTCAAAGGGTTGGGGAAATACCAAAAAATTGGGAAAGATGAAATTCCCATTTAAGGATTAGTAGTCGTTATCAACGAGGTAGGTTACTTTGATTAGATTTAGCCCAAATCTTAGTTTCGAATCATCAGTCGGAGGAGGGCCTGAGAAAATACGTCTTCACTGCGTCCAGGGGGTTGGCTATTCGCCACCTTAAACCTGTGTTAACGGAATGGTTCGGATCGCCTTCAATGGTGCCGTGTTGGCCAGCGGGTTCTAGTTTCTACGCGGCCTTCAAGTTAAATTGTTGGTAGAAAATGACGAAGACTAAATGTGTGTGGAGTTGATTCAGCAGCGCCGGTAGAGCGTACTACGCACAGACGAGAGTTTTATTTTCACAGAGGACAAGATAGATGAAAACGAATTCTCCGACTTAGGTTTACAGTCCAAAAGTGATATGCTTGCAAAGAAAAGTAGGAAAGGACATGCAGGACAGTAAACGAACCTGTAAAGGCAACTGCGGGGACGGTTCGTTTCAAGTCGTCGTCGGTGGTGTATAGAATGTAGCCCTGACTTGGCACCGCGTGGTCGGTGGCGAAGGACTGGACACTCCATCGGTTATTTATCTGAGAGACAGGAAACGGCAATCATTCTAGGATCTTCCATTGAAAAAACTGGTAATTAGCAGTAGGAATTGGGAGGGCCGATGTGTTGTCTTTATGAACTTGGAGTAAATTATCGGCTCAGTTACTGACGCAAGTTACCCTAAAGCAAATTATGCATGCAGAACCAGAGACCAAAGTAAAAATGGCCAGGCTACGTAGGTTTGTGAGCAAAATATGTCATTTTATACGTATACTCTAGATGATAAACAACTCTTAATTCAAAGATACCGACAACCTGCCGAAGGACAGTCACTAGCGACAACACAAAAGGATCATGAGTTCTGTGCTCGCACCACGAGAAAAGCAAATACCAGAATTTCACTCGGAGTCACGAAACGACTCGCTACAGCTAAATTTAGGCCGACAGATCACGGGGTAGTTTTTCAATCAAGAGGACAGAGCCAAACGGCCCAGAGGAGATTGGCAGTTTTACATCGGTCGAAAGAGCAGACGAGACATCAAAGTTGTCAACGCGGAGGGTTTAAGGAAACTTGTCCAGGAATTCAACTTGATGCACTCGAATCGACGCAGACTAGATATGTTGCAGCACATACGAAAAACTCAAAAACCCTCGGTCGGTATATTGTGGCTCAGGTGATTAAGGCGTTGGGTGTACTCAAACTTTGTTCCCTCTGTCGTGGGTTCATGCCCCGCTGAAGCAGACGAGCTTTTCACAGATAAGTATTCAGTCAGACTGTTAATAACTGTTAAAACGCCTGACAAATCAAAACAGAAAGTGTACGGCACGAGGACTAAAGGCCATAAAGTACCTGAATTGTAGAACCTGGTTCAACGGGAACTAGAAGCGGTTCCTGGAAGCACTGCAATGACAAACCCTGCATCTTTCCGTATTCAGCACAGAGTGTCCTCACCGATTCAATGAGAGCAGGAAGCATATAGTACTTAGCTCGTGACATCCTGTTGAGCTCGCGTTTGCGCATGTGATGGCAAATACTGCCAATGTGATCTATATGGCCATGGCTGATTGGATAGGCGGATGAAGATGGACTAACCTGATAAAAACATGTTCAGCACTTTTGGCCCACGATGGAATGGTGCCAGCGTCGAACAAAAAAAAGTCTGACCTTTGTTTTACACCAATACATGTCTCGTTGCCGGAAATGGACCAGCCAAAAACTTCAAAGCCCGCAATCTGTTGGCCACCACCCATTTAAAAGACCGTCAATAAGGAAAGGGGGAAATAATGTGCTCGGGGAAATCTGCGTCCGCTACCGACTGGATAAGAGTATGGATCTGGCGACTTGTTTCTAACGCGAAACTGTGCACGGTAACCAGGATAAAGAGATAGTTCTGTGATGACAGACTTGGTTGAGTATTACCAGAGCCACGACTTCCACGCTTCCATTGACCTGAAGGGAAATGTATGTCAGATGGGCGAAATGGTAGGAAAAAACGATTCTTTTGAATATGGGCTATCCAAAAAACCGAACAGGAATCATAAACAACTGGCCGGAAAACAACCGCAAACATTAGCGTGTATTTTGCCTGAAATTCAGCAGCATGAAATCGTGGTGATTGACGTCTGTGCTGTATTTGCTAAGAAGAACCGCTCACTTGGGCTAAGTAGGCATAATAGCTAGAATCAGGTTTTCGAGGTTTCTCGTATGTATGTTCTAAATCGATCTAACCCCAAGTAGGCGTCGCGAAGATAACATAAGCATGTGTCATAATGTCGTAGGATACGTGCCGGATAAGAAATTCAATAAATTAAGCAAGCATAGTTATTAGCCAACAGACAAAATTACATTTAACTGCCGGCTGGAAGTAGAACTAAGCAAAGAATCGCAAGCTAAAAAGCCCCTCACTGTAGGTAGTGTATCTTACGATATGTTAAATGAAGTTCAGAAATGTGATTCTGGTTAGAAAAAATCACTTAAATGAGGTTGCAATATTGACTACCCGGCAGCATTATCCCACGACATTTCAGTCACACCAGAATGCAGGCTTAGGAATGCATGTTTTTCCAGGCACCTGCAAAAACCATACTTGCTGAAAGATGACTATTTATTCAGGCTGAATTCTTCTCATAGATTTTCGATATAACTGTCGGTCAAAACATATTTTATAGAAAACATAGATGTAAGCATCGTCTCTTGTAATTGTTTTGTAGAAAATTACGGCATTTCCTGATTCTCTAACCAAATGAGAAAAGTTTGCGATTATGACATTGTCAAGACCTTGATGTATCTATTAAAACAGCCACACAGTGGAGTACACAACGTGGTCCACATCCATTGCACAATTTAGTGAACCTTATGTGGCGTCTTCATAAAAACATAGAGGAATGTATGATTTTTCTTGTGGTTCGAAATTCTTAAATGTAGGTTGAATTTAAAATAAATCAGAAATTCGAAGTTTTTAAAAATTCGAGGATGCTGCTTCTTCGGGTAGATAGAATGTAATTAATTTAAAAAAGGAGTCCAGGAAGGTGCCTTTGTTTCGGACTTCTATAAAATATGTTTTCATTTATAAGGACATCGAATATTAACGAGAAGATTAAAATGATCAAGCAGCCATTTTAGAGAATGTGATATTTGCAGACGGTCAGAGGGACGTGTATTCAAGAGCCAAAATTTTGGTGGTTCTAAAACAGCTCTGGACTATGTTGAGTGGTGCTGAATGCTACAAGCCCGTCTTAGTAGTTCTTTCCGAATTTCAATCTACGTCTCACCAATAACGTCACTTGATGGAAAATTTTATTCTAATTCGGAAGGAATCGGAAAAGTTTTCGTACAAGCAAACAGTGTGGAAGATTTTCATTTTTTGGGTCAGAGTCTAGTGATCTTTGATGGTTGGCATCTGACTGAAGGCAGGTCCACAGTGGGGCCGGATCACTAGATCCTAATTTTAACAATCTTGATGTCTTTCCAAGAAAGATTATAGCCTTAGGTGTCGAGTCAATACGGATTTATTTTTAGGTCGACCGGCGAATCTACAAAAGACTGGGGAGTCTGTCAACCATTCTACTCTGTTCACGCGAGACAGACTGAGAATTCAAGCTGGAGGACGCCTAAGCATCTGCTATAAATACCACTTAAGTGTCACTTAGATTGACCTGCGGGATCTCCGTAATGAACACACACATCTTCGTTGACAATTTCGTTTTTGTTCACGGCTTTCAGATACGCATGCTCGTATACTGAAGCCCAAAATCCACTTGGTATGAAAACGATTCCCTTTACGGTCAGGAGGGCACACCCTTCGGAAAAATATAATACTCGTCAGTTCCCTGTAAAAGCCTACCAGTTAGTGGCGATTAAGATTTCTTTAAGGTCAACTGTCCAATCATACCATAAAACAGTTAATCTGAAATACATGTCTATACTGCGTCTGCAAGTGTGGTGCGGATTAGCTGCGGAATAATCCGGCTTTTGGGTTCGACGACCAGCAACGACAAATACCCGAGCGTCGGTGGACTGGTCTGTCATGTCGATTTTCTCACTAAATATCACAAAGCCTGATCACAGCGCGGTGAAATGCCAACTGTAAGCTGCCATTCAATAAACCTTCTGGTCAAATTCTTGTGAAAAAGTTCCTATTCGAGCCTGCGGAAGCTGGTTGAAGGACTCACTCGCCGTGATTAGCCTATTGTGGCCGGGGACTGAAATGTCTGGGGTGTGCTAGGCGACCATTCTAACGACTATCTTATCGGACGCCGGACACCGGCTTCGGACGCGACAATGGTCAGAGAATGTTACAGTCTGCTGATAAGAAACGGCTATTTATTACGAACATGTGCTTCCGGAAGCGCCGCAAATACCCGCTGATCAAACGATGGTTGACTTCATCCTAGTCAGCCTGCTCTTCCCTGGCTCGATTTATGAAAACAGATTGATGCATGGTGTCAAAAATGGCAACGCAAATGGGTTACGCCATGTTAACCGTCTCACAGACCTGACATTTAACCTCTCATCCACAACCCAATTATCACGTGAGAGATTTTTGGATGATTTAAAACTACGACGGCTGAGTACAGCTGGGATCTTGAGAACAGATATCTGGTCTCCTTATATGCCCCAAGTCGGAGAGGGAAGCAGTAAATGGTCGGTAACAAATTCATCCATCTACGAGGCGGAGGAAAAATTCCCAGATTCATCCAGTGGCGCCTCAATGACCGAGCCAAATGAAAAACCTTACAGTCGTTTGTCCACATGGCTTTACCAAGGTACTGCAAAGAGAATTCCACCCGCCAGCTCCTCACAGTGACAAAGTCGGTTAAAGATGGACTCAAGCTAAAAAGCTTGAATATATTACGCTGGAATATATTCCATTGCAATATCAAGAGGGCGATTAAGCATGAATTACGTCTATTTCTGTAATTAACATATAAAAATACTCTTAAAGGTTTTGCAACATTCTTGTAGATGCAGCTGCATCTTCAAGAAAGTTGTAAAAACTTTTGGAGGTCAAGCTGCATCTAGATGTAGCTAGACCTCCAAAAATCGTCTCTAATGCGCTGGTCAGTTGGAGTGCCCCTCATACCAGTCACAATAATGATGACATACGTCCATAAACCTTTATTTTAACAGTTGGATAATCTCCTATAACAAGGAGTAGGAAAGAGGTAACTCGCAGTTGTTCAAGTATTTGGACGTTGGCGAAATAGCCAAAGTAGCCTAGGCCAGAAAGCCTCGTGACTTGAACGCCTCAGTGTATAAAGCAGCTCAAGGAGTCTATGGATCCATCCCGCCTCGCGGAACGATATTCAGAGGTGGGATTCCCGACTATAGTCGGGAATCCCACCTCTGAAGGCTGCTAAAAGTCCACCATAAAGACAATTAAAACGACGCCTGTTGGAAAGAAATAAATCGTAAAACACACGAAATTAAAATGTTGAAGTACGCCAAGAGCAGCCAGCGGCACTAAATGGGTGGTTGGTGAAAACGAATTCAAAAATGAATGTGTAAAAACGAAGGCTAAATATAACTTTTTGATTGATTTAAAGACAAGACGAATATACTAATGAAAATGATTCATTAATTTCTCACAGACTACTAAGTAACGTGTTGGGTTTATGGAGTATTTAATGCTGTTACATCCGAACTCCTTGGTTGGTAGTTTTCTGCAACTTGGACATGCAAAGTAAATGAGCCGTCCTGTATCAGGTCAAACCAGGATTATCAGAGATAAGAATAAGAAAGACATCAGAAGAGTGCGATGACGGGAAAACAAGAGAAACCAAACTTAGCGGAAATCATATTGTCAACGAAACCAACAAACTCCAGATTATTCAATGACTGTTTTCGTATAATCAAGGTAGAATATCCTAAATGATGCTTGTTGCATCTGGTAATTGTGTTTCAGTAATGAGAATGACTGAAAGTTGAAATGAACTAATAGTCAATAAGGAGAAGTGGACTCGAGTCAGCTAGTGGCGTTGCGATTCGCCCTACTGCGACTCAAATCCTAATAACTTTCCTGAACTCAGGCTTTGTTCACGAAGACATCAATGAACCGACACTCGAATGCGAAATAACCCTCTACTTACATTCATATCCGGGAATATTATTCATCATCATCATCCTCCTCAAACGATTTACAAATGAAAGGAGCAGTTTAATGAACACTCAGTCCTCAATTACGGACGGTCTTCCAAATTACGTTGCCAGGTATTATCAAATTTTACATGGTTGTCTGGTTACGTCTTCTTTGTCTCTCTTTCGAGCAAAAGCTTTTGTGATACATAGAGAACACCTGCTGTTCTTTCAGGCTTCAGGTAGGAATTTTAACCTGACTCAAGTAACTACCTGGCATTGCATGAGCTACCTTATTGAGAAAATCTTATTAAAAAGATGACAATCAACGATATTCTCGTAATTCTTATCAGAAGACAGATTATCCGTAGTTCTCAGCATGCCCTTTTATGTGGAGTTCTCGCAAAATCACCCATTCGCTTTTACTTAATGTCATCGCCCCGCCTCGGCAAGAGCAGGTGCTTATGACAAGCATTTCCCCTGATTACAGCAAATCATTTAAACTGTTGACCCATGGACGGCTTTCAGTAG